GACGACAAACTGTATACTATTTAACATCATAAGATACACAGTAGGGTAAAGCTTACCTGTCTCACGACGGATGATCATTCATCACCATCATCGACGATCGGCGCCGACGATGCCTGCGCCGCCGCTGCCCGCGAAGACTACCACCACCAATGTTCACGCGCAGAACGCTTCTGTTAGTTAGGATGCAGTTTTTTTTTTTTTTAAATAAATAAAAATCTTCGTCTTCATAATAATATAAATTATAATATCTTACTTTGGATAATCATATTAAATGAAGTGATACAAAATAGAAAACGACATGTTTCGACAATAATATTATCTGTACTTTATATACACCTCGTTCACCCCGCGACATTATTTCATGGCGGGCTTTGAGTATTAAAATTAATGGGGGATTGACTAATTTCTCTTTTTTTTTTTTTTTTTTTTTTATAGTATGCGGATTGACCTCAGGACTCATTGGATGGAGTCTAACCATTGTCGCAGGACAAAATCGTATTACTTTATACGTAGTAACTAATTAGATACCTTTCTATATTCTAATATATAAATTTTATTTTTGTTTGTTCGTATATAATGCGCTACCATACCGTTCATCAGATTGCGTTAAAATTTAGTCAACTTATTGCTAACTAATAAACTTACAATAGATGGCGCGCGTATCGAACTGACAAATTTATTTATTTATTATTATATAGAGACTAACTACCTCTTCCAAATTTTAAACGATATTTCGACAATTTTTTTTTTTTTTTCCGTGTACCATCTACAGCAACACGAAACATCCACCCCCCCCCCCCCCCCTCCCCTCCCCCCGCCTTCGCCTTATTATTTGCCCGCCATTTTATACTTCCCCGCACCCTCGCCTCAGCCGTCTCAGTCGTCTGGGTGACTTTATATAAACGGGAAAAACGAAAGGTGCGGTCTATCTGTCGTCGTGCGTTCGTAACGTACGTTAAGTCTGTATATATATTATTTCGTGTGTTGTCTTTCTTCTCTAAGCGAAAATGACCGGTCGCGGTAAAGGTGGTAAAGGTTTGGGGAAAGGTGGAGCGAAGCGGCACAGAAAAGTTCTTCGTGATAACATCCAGGGTATCACCAAACCGGCTATCAGACGTCTCGCACGCAGGGGCGGTGTGAAACGTATCTCCGGGTTAATTTACGAAGAGACACGCGGTGTACTCAAGGTGTTCCTTGAGAACGTGATTCGTGACGCTGTTACATACACCGAGCATGCGAAGAGGAAAACCGTCACCGCAATGGATGTCGTCTACGCCCTGAAACGTCAAGGACGTACCCTCTACGGATTCGGTGGTTAATTTCTTATACGCGATGAAGACGTCGTCCACCGCCACGTACTACGGCTCTCTGTCCGCTCTGAGTTCGTCTATAGTACACCATGTGCGCAGTGTGTATTTGCTACTTGGTATGCGGGACTCTGAGAGTTAAGTTACGTGATGAGACGATTTTCCTAATCGTATAAGTTAATAAAAAAAAAGGCCCTTTTCAGGGCCGCAAAACTATCAATATAACTTGTATTTGTTTCGTAGAGTATCGTCATTTAAAAAAAAAAAAAGAAATGATATGTGCAAGCATGTATTTTGTTGTATGGATATGTGTATAAATGGCATGATTATGTATATAAGTGCGAATGTATGTGTGTTTATGATCATGTATGTAAGTGCATATTAGAATTAGATGTGTCTGTCTATAAAGTTATGTTATTTAAAAGCTGTAAAGGCATCACATAAGATTTTTATGTATACCAATTAAACGCGGAACAAAATTAGGTTTATTTTTTATTTATTTTTTTAATTCGAAATAATTTCGAAAAACTGATCTGAATGAAAGAAACGTCAATTCATGTAGGCATTAAATGACTATACTCTTCTTAAATTTGACGATACCTATTAAACAACAAGTGTAAAATATCGCCATATTGAAATAATGGTTCGAACGTCTTAGGAATATATTATCATAATTCCGAATTGTATTTTTTTTTTTTCTCTCTTATTTATCTCCCTTATTATTTAATATATACATAATAATATGATATACTATATTTTAATAATATCACACTTCATTTTTTTTTTAAATACTTAACGCTTTATAAACATACGTTGCTCTGAAGCGTGCCCAGCTTTTGTACGTATTTTAAAGAAGTATGGGAACGTGTTGCAACATTCTAGAAATAATGATGATTTATAATAATTATTTCAGATTACAGTGGACAAATTTTAAAATATTATAGACTATTTTCAAAGATCGTACGCTTTGTATAGGGACTTCGGTCTGTGAGCCTCGAGACCTCTTCGTGTTTTACGACCTTCGACGTATAATAGGTCGTTGCATTACGAATAATGCATTACCGGCGTGACCTCTGCCTTCTGTCTAACCTCAGGATATTAACTTTCAATAGACCGATTTAAATTTAACTAAACTAATGAGCAAATAGAGAAAAATCATTTTAAAAGGCGGCTCATGGTACGCTCAGAATATAGTGAACAAAATAAACATCCATTGCTCGTTTCTCGATCGCTTATATACGTAACGGGTTTGTCTGTTACGTGCACAATCTCAAATATATACCGTATTAACTTTCTGAATACGATAATATTTATATATCACGGTAAAAATTAAATTTTATTCGAGACGTTCTAGTGAAAAGTTAGAAGTGTTCGTACGAGAAAACGTCTCGCAGCACCGCGGTTCTCCTTACGGTTAAGCTTTGGTTGGGGGGGTAAGGTGGCGATAGTGTCGCCACCTGTGTATTATCCTACGTAATATCAATTTGTGTACGATATATAACAACAATTTACAATTTTCCTTTGTTATTATCATCTATCGCGAGTTGTGTGAGTCAGTGTTTGTAGTTCGTTTGTGATCTAATACTACTACTACGAAGTAATGGCAGATACAGCAGTAGCTTCCGAAACTCCCGCTCCGGCGACTCCGGCGAAAAAACCGAAGGCCGCCGCTACTGCAGCAGGTGGTGCAAAGAAGCCCAAGGCGAAACCCACTCATCCGAAGACTTCCGAAATGGTCACCAGCGCAATTAAAGAGCTGAAAGAGCGCAGTGGATCATCTTTGCAAGCGATAAAAAAATATATTGCCGCTCAATATAAAGTCGACGCTGAAAAACTAGCTCCGTTCATCAGAAAGTACCTGAAGAGCGCAGTCGAATCGGGTGCGCTTATACAGACAAAGGGCAAGGGGGCTTCCGGTTCCTTTAAGCTTGAATCAAAATCGTCCGCCTCTAAGAAACCGTCGACGGGTAAGAGCAGCGGTGGCGCAAAGAGCGGCGCGTCCGCCGCTAGCTCGGTGTCGGCGAAGGTGAAGAAGAGCACCGCCGCGGGTAAGGGTAAAAAGGCAGCATCGGCAGCGACCGCATCATCACCGTCTAAGGCAAAACCGTCTGCAGCTACCAAGGACAAGAAGGCGGCCGCCGCGAAAAAGAAGCCGGCAGCCGCAAGAAAATCCGCAACCGCTGGCCAAAGCGGCGTTTCTAAGGCGAAAGGCGCCGCTTCGAAGGCGAAAAAGAGCGCCAAACCACCGACAAAGAAACCTAAGGCTCCAAAACCGAAGAAGGCGGCAACACCCAAATCGAAGCCTTCCGCGGCGGCATCGAAGAAGGCAGCCGCTTCTAAAAAGTAAGGTCCGCTGTCACCGCCTTCCGTCGTCATAACCACCACCGCCGCCGTACCTACCTACGTACGTACTCGTACGCGTAATTGTCACGCGCGTATGTGATTGTGTAGTGCATGCAGGCAGAGTGACAGCAAGACGGGACGGACGGGACGGGAGAGGAGAAGGATCCTCGCGGGTGAACGCGAGTGCCTCGTAGCGCCGCGGCATCGGGCCTATTTATTTTTATTTTATTCTTAAAAATAATACCTATAAAAATAAATAGTGTACGTGTGTCGCGTCGTATACGAATATGCGCGAGCGACCGCAATGCTAAAAAGCCCTTTTCAGGGCTAACAAAAATTTCCTATGAGTTTCTTATACGTCACGCGTCAATCATAATGATTGCCTTATTATATATATTACCTACCTATATTATATATATCGCACCGTCCCTCACTTCAATCAAAATCAGTCAGTCAGGCAGTTCTATATAATGTAATATAAAATATTATGTAATTATGTAAACATTGCAACGAAATAACGAACGCACAACTTATGAACGCACGATAACGATTTAACTAAGTAGGTATATAAATTCGAATAAGCTAAATACACGTATATTATAACAATAAACGTAGATGCGTCGTAAATGCGTTACAACAATTTACGAAACACTAAATACCTCTATATATATATACACACACCACCTACTCAACGAATTCAACGTACTACGTTCACACTTTTAAAAAAATTTTAATAGGTGCCTAGGTAAAATAGATAACACAACCGAATCGAATCGAATCGAATCGAATCGAACCGAACCGACCGACCGACCGACCGACCGACCGACCGACGCGACGCGACGCGACGCGACGTGACGCGACGCGACGCGACGAGACCCTACACGAACGTAACACGTATAATATTATGTATATAAATAATATTATCACTTTCACACTCCCTAATTTTCTTGTTACAGTTTTTCGTTTTTCTTCCTCTTCGACGACGATATATTATACTATTCTATTCTAACGCGTTATATCCTATTGCTGCTACCTAGTATTCTTCTTTTTTTCTTCTTTACAAGTACATTCGTTTCGCCCTCGCCCGACTGCCCGACTCCCGACTCCCAACTCCCAACTCCCAACTCTGACTTGAGATTTTCCAACTAACTAAAAGTCTGACCGGACCGACCGCGCAAACGTGTTGCGTTCGCGATCCCCACCCCACCTAGTGGCGAATCGATGCTGGCTATATAAAGGAACGTCGCAAGTTTAAAAAAATTAGTTTATATCGGTGTTGACGTCGTCTATATAGAGACGAGTGTTTAATTTTCTACATTTATAGAATTTTATTATTACGTATTAACGACAATGTCTGGACGTGGTAAAGGCGGTAAAGTGAAGGGAAAGGCAAAGTCCCGTTCGAATCGTGCCGGTCTACAATTCCCCGTTGGACGTATTCACAGGCTGCTGCGAAAGGGAAATTATGCAGAGCGTGTGGGTGCCGGCGCTCCGGTGTACCTGGCCGCAGTCATGGAGTACCTCGCCGCTGAAGTTCTAGAGTTGGCCGGTAACGCTGCTCGGGACAATAAGAAGACCAGAATCATACCGAGACATCTCAGCTTGCCATCCGCAACGATGAAGAGTTGAACAAGCTCCTCTCCGGTGTGACGATCGCCCAGGGCGGTGTACTACCCCAACATTCAGGCGGTCCTTCTTCCCAAGAAGACCGAGAAGAAGGCCTAAACGAGTGTGTACACTACTCCCGTCGCATTACTACACCACACCACTAGGCCCAAGAAAATGGTTGAGAACATTAGACGAGAGTATGCGTCGACGTTTTATCGATCGGTAATGCCCTAATTGTACTATATACGTATTGCATATTCTGTTTTACGCTCCTTAGTATAATAATGGTGCATTCGCCGTCCGTCGACTCGCGTGTCTCTACTGCTCTATTGCTATCTACCGTTCGTGGTGGTACGTGATTAAAAGGCCCTTTTGAGGGCCACAAATACTATCGATAATTTATAAATTTAGTCTCTTAGAATGCGAACGTTCTTTAAAGCCTCTTTCCTCAGTTCCTCCTATCCTATCCTATACCTTATTCCTTTTTGTACGCTATTACTTTATATTGGTAATGGTAACGATAAGACTAGAGCCATATTTATTATGAATTAATAATAATCAATAGACTAAAAGGTAA